GTCTTCAATCTCTGAACTCATAAAGTTTTTTTTAGTTTTCGCTGTCATTTTCATGAATGGACATTTCCTTGTATCTGAGGAAGGAAACACAGCCTTATATGGTGTTTTTGGGGTGGTAATTATGCTAATCTCCTCTCGCGTGCACGTGCAGCTGGATACGAACGGGTGTAAATTACGCAGCTCATTTACGCACGTTTCCAGAAGATAGAAGAGTTTGTTGAATCTGACGTAGCATGTTCGTACGAACCCTTTGCACAACAAAAGTAGGAGAAATTTAGGATAAGAATACGAACATGTTCTTGCATGAGGCCCAATGTGTATTTAGCTTAGAAAAGCTAACTTTAGCTAATAGCAGCTAAACATTAGCTAAAATTTCAGCAAATAGCTGAAAATAACAGAAAGCATCTGTAAGAAGCATTAACAGCAGAAATTAGCAGAAAAAAGCACAAAAAGTAAGAAAAGGCAGAAAAATAGCAGAAAGAAGCAGAATTTTAGCTGAAATAGCAAAAATGTAGCTAAAATTAGCACAGGAATGTGAAAAAGAGCATAACCAGATCAAAATGTGTAAGGTTATGTAAAGATTTAGAAACATTTTAAGAGTTTAAGGATGTTTTCTATTCATTTTAAATGGCAAAAAAGTGGCTAAAAAAGGGGAAAAAAGTGTAAAAAGCTGAAATACCAAAAGTCATAGCACCCCTCACATGAATGAGCGTTTTGATACAGTATATGAATTGTTGAAATAGCACAAAAATTGTGGAACAAGTTAGATGCCGAAAAACGTACGGAAGAAAAAAAAAACTCAATTGTGTGAATGCTTAAAAAAAATGATAATAATAATAACAACACTGGAGTTTTACTGACATCAACTATGAGACTTAAGAAATGTCCCTGTTCATTTCTGACACATCTCCCAACACTTCACGGTAATTAAAATGCACCAGGTGCGAGAGAAGTCTGAATAGTCAGGAACATAACGTGAGCAATAATGGATGATGTCAAACACGTGATGTTTTACAGACACAAATTAAAGAATTTCACAGAACATGAAGTCACAAAACAACCAGGTGGCGTTAGCTGATGTAAAGTAATTAGTGCTGCACAATTTACACCAGTCGTTTCAATGCACCCTGGGTTTCATATGGCCGTTGCATCGGGCCACTTCAGTACCACCCGAAGTTGCTAACGCTACGTCTTAGCCACTTAGCCTGTGGTCACAATCTTGCTGAAGCACTGGCTTTAAATAAAACAACTCTTAGCCTGGCAGGGGAGCAAGCAAGTAAGAACTGGCAGGCCTGCAGGCTTATAATACATGTGGGGGAAACCATATGCAAGCGTTGATTTAATTTGCCTCACACGTCGCAGGAACTTTATTGTACAGCTCTAACAGCAACACGGTTGAAGAACCAGGAGTAAAGCTGGATTTATACTGGACATGTAAAGAACTCTGCTCTCTTTTCTGCAACAACAAGCCACTCCCCATCCTCGGCTGTGCGCCGTTGTGGGGCGTCGACAGAAACACGTCAACCGCACGGCATGGACATTCGTTTTATTTGTGTTGTTGTAACACGACGACGATCACAGAGAAGGAAGTTTATTTTTCCTGGATGGAGAAAAAAAAGAACATCTTATTCTAGGACGTGGGCCATCATTATGAAAACCGTTTAGCCTTGCTGTTCATTCAGCGGCATCCACACACAGCAGCATACTGACCTCTGCACTGGAAAGATTAGTGGTCACACTGCAAATAATGGTTCCCAGAACCTAATGTTAGCTTCCAGCAGCTAATAATCCAAGCACACCAGTTCTTGAGCTCACAGAACAGCATGGCCAAATCTCATTTTAAATTTCTGACCAATCACACACAGTAGACCCAAATCTTCAGGAAAGAATAAACTGCAGCACCCATCGGCTTTTGCTCTGCGTTACAATGCATTCTTCCTAGACGATATGTTTACAAGTTTCCACTTGACAACCGCCATTTTATTATGGTTGCAAAATTAATGGCCTGCAATAAAGAGACTGAGTCAGTGCCACATGGTGCTGCTAAGGGCTGTAACCACCAGACAGAAGGCAACAGAGGAAGTCAGTCAGGGTTTCCAGTTTCTCTTGAGAACAGACGGAGCAAAGGCAGCTTCCTGGAAGACTTTCAGCTGTAAACTTACATCTTTCCCAACCCCTTTAACATGTTCGTTAGAGTTTACAAGTGTTTAAATAAGGTCTTATAATAAAATGTTTTACATAAGCTATACACAGATGCGCTTTCGACACTAAAAGCAATGAAGCGCAACAACGTTATTACTGCCACAGTGCTGATATGAGCAAAATGCAGCACAAACAGAAGCTTTGAAGTGCTCTGGCCTCAATTAGCTGCTTCAAGTTTCATTTATTTTAAAGGTTTCCACAAAACTCTCTTCTGCAGGAGGCTCATCTAATTTAAAGTAGACATATCATGCTTTTAAATCCCTTTTTTTAGTGCTGGGCACGTTAACACGATAGCAACGCTTCATGGCGATAATCTCTTTAACGTGCGATAACGCAGTTTTTCACAAAAAGTACAAAAATGCACAGTGTGTCACAGATGGAGTATATTGCAACATAAAAATGTACACATTCAGCCATTGTAAAGTAATTGTTTCTATAAAAGATAAAAAAAATAATGCGATTAATTGTGTTTAAAATTTTTAATCCATGTCCAGTACTATATAATATACACAGGGTCTATATAAAGTGGAACTGCAATGCTTTACTGAATTCCTCCTGTAACTCCACAAGCCCCCCTTTTCAGAGATGCATCTAAGATCAACTCGTCCATGATAACTGATAACTTCAGTTTAAGCAAAAACAACACTGTTTAGAATAAAATTGTCTCACAAAAATACCATGCACATAAACACACTGAGGTTTAAAGACATCAGACAGAGCACCGGAGTGTGAGAAAATAAAATGTTGCCCTCAAGAGCAAACAACAACTCACCTCGCAAACTTATGCTGGCTCAGGACAAGAACTTTTCCACGAACTTCTGCCACAATCTTGCTTTTGTCCTCTGGTCTGCCGTGCTCCAAAACATGCTGAATGACGTAGTTACCGTACTGATCCTGCAGGAGGCAGCAGAGACGTGAGTGCCAGCTAAAGCCGTTTAAAGCTTGTAATAATCAGCAGATTGAAAAATAAATAAAGTGACCTTTATTCGGATTGATAAACATGCAGTAATTTCCACCGCTTGTCTCAACCAGTGAGATAATCATGCATTTCTACAGTAAACAAGCCGACGAATGAGTGACACCCCCATTTGTAGTATTAAAAAATACCCTAACGTCATCACTGCGGAAGGTCAGACAAAACAGATGCTGCTGGTCTGGAGCGTTGTTGACCAGACGATGCAGCATCTTTGCCCCTTCAGGAGTAGGTGATAGACAGTTATGGGTGTGATTTTAATGGGACAAGATGGAGAGGAAACAAAAAAATATACAAAAACTCACCTGACTCTTAATCAATATACAGCAGTAATTAATTTGGATGGCACTGATCTCCACCTTTAACTGTAAAATTTTTGCCTACAAAATCATTTCTGGTTCAATCTGTTTTCACAAAACTCGCTTCGTTCTGCTTTTTGGATTTCATGTCGAAGAGATTTTTTTGAGATTTTGGCTCGTCAGATTCAGATTTTCAGGAAACCCAAATAATTTGTGAAGTCGAGATGATAGAAAAAAAACCGGCAACAAAAAAAAAGAAGAAAAAACAGATTGATCAGAATATGCTTAAGGCAATAAGAAGGATGAAACAGCAGATATGCAGCGTGTGAATCGTGCTGAACAAAGCAAAAGAGGAAGGGGGAAAAGGCAGCTCAGTAGGTTAGAGGAGGTTTGTAAAAGCTGAAAACAGCTAATGTTATAAACAGACTTTTTAAAGAAGAGATAAAAGAAAGAAACGGGAGGAGAAAGAGAAAGGAGGAGGAGGAGGAGGATGGGGACATCCGCGAGAGAGAGGCAAATTGCTCTGACCTTGAACAGCGCATCACGGGACACTGTATAATATGTTTTGGGTGTCATCTCCAATGATACGCCTTGATATTTCTAGATGAAATAAGTGAGGGGGGGCAGGGTGGATGTTCAAATAATCACAAGTCAGATGTAATGACAGCTAACAGTACAAGTACATTCATCTTTCACACTTAGCAAAACCACTAGACAAAACAACAACAACAAAAACAACAACAACAAAAGACAGGCAAAAATAAATAGAAAATGAAATGCTCAAACATGAAGGGGGCATGCAAACACACACACACAAAAACAAACATCCTAAAATTGAACCAAGCAAACACAGCGTTACATCTGCAGTTAAGGGTGGGTTTAACAAACAGGGACGGACTGGAGACAGATGTGCTCACCTGGCCCAGCTGTTCAGAATGCTGATGCAGCTCATCCAGGATGGGCAGGGTTTGCTCCTGAGTGCAGTGCTCCAAAATCCTTTGGATAACTCTGCAGCCATAAGGATGTGTGGAAAGCACAAACACCTGCAACGAAGGGAAAAGAAAGAAGCAATCAATAAAACGTAGAACGCGACCCTTTAGCATCATTTTTATAGAAGCAAAGCTTAAAATGTTGATGTTTGTTTTTCAAATTTGTCAAAATGAAAGACGCTACAAATAGGCCTGTCGCGATAGACAATAAATCAATTAATTGCACGATAACTTTTTTTGAGGTCGGTAAAAAAAAAAAAGACGGCGATAAGTTTCATTTTCCTGCTTGTTTGTTTACTTCGTCTCTCTCCCTCTCTGTGCTCCGCTGCACAGGAGCTCAGCTGACCCCTCCCCTCCTGTTTTCTTAGTGTGGGAGTGAACCCTCACTTTAGCTTGAGAGCTCGTAGCAATAACAAACTAAAGAAATGTTTCAAAGCAGAACACGGCTGCTGAAATGTCGGAGCACTAG